TTGCTCCGCGTCTCCCTGGTCTGCTGGGGGGGGGCTTCCCCCCCCAGCAGACCAGGGAGACGTGGAGCAGCTTTTCTCGCCCCGCCGCTCCAGTCCTCCGGGGCGAGAAAAGCCCCGTTCGTAACTGCGGATCCGACATAAGTCGGATCCGCGTAACTCGGGGACTGCCTGTATTGGAGGAATGGGGAGGGAATGCCATTTAACTGAATATTCTGGGTAACAGTTGTACTTTACCAATGGAATACCAATTTTCAAAGAAGTAGAATACAAGAAAATGAATATAGTATAAAATAGCACATAGGTATTATTCACCAATCCAGTAGTAGTACTGCTCTGCAGAGTTGCTGGTTTCTTGAAGCACTTAAGTCTATACATGTCCAATTTTCTATACGGTGGCTTTTCTTATGACACTAGGTATCACTTTTAGGGATGTTAAATATCGGTTAATTGAATAGTTGATTATCCTAATGAATTTTTATCAGTTAACTTGACTATTTTATAGTCCCTGGGGGTGGGGCCGGCAACAAGTGCACCCTGGCCCCCACTCTTGAGAAGCCCCTTGCCACTTCGCGCTGCTACCTCTGTATCAGAGGCAGCAGTGTGGGGTGCCAGGTGGGAGCTGGTCCACGAGGGGAGCCAGTTTAAAAACAAGCTCCCCTCGCAGACCAGTTGCCTGTTACCCCATGGTGTTGCCTCTGATACAGAGGCAGCAGCCCCTGTGCACGGGGAGTCTGAGCTCCCGGACCCGGCACAAGCCGGAACTAAACTAGGTTGCCTGCTCGCCTGGCTCCTAATACACTTTAAATGCAGAGCTGCAGCAGGGGTAGGTCCTGGACCACAGCCATGCTGCTGGCCGGGCTGCTAAAAAATTTACTGGTGGGGTGGGGGGGGAGAGGGAATGCAAGTAGACTATAGCATTAACCTATAAGCTTTTGCTTATTGGTTAATTGACTATACTATTAGATCCCTCATCACTATGGGGCCTGGTGCTTACCCAGATCACTAAAAATACACTTAACAGTAAAGCTATACTGAACCTAATTTAATCTTTCTTTGATGAGTCAGGGTCATTGTTATCAACATCAATTATCATTGTACATTTAGGAGGTGGAGGAGATTGGGCTGAATCTGTAATAATGCTAAGACATACCCTGAACGGTGCTTTTTGGAAAAAAAAAATCCCAATTTCAACTCACTTGTCTTCTGCCTATTTTGCATAAAAGTAGAGTGTAGTATACACATTGGATAACATGCTGGGCTGTATACTAGTCCTGGTTACTAGATTGAAGATTTGTATTGGGAGATATCAGAAATGCCGATTAATTGAGCTTTCTGGTTAATTGAGTGCTAGATAACAGAGCTTTTACTGTATATTGAGTTCAGTTACAACACAGAATACAAAATGCCCCATGCTCACTTTATATTAGTATTTTGATTAAATACTTGCACTGTAAAAATGATAAAAGAAATAGACTTTTCAGTTCACCTCATACAAGTAGAGTAGTGCAATCTCTTCAATATGAAAGTGCAACTTACAAATGTAGATTTTTTTTTGGTTACATAACTGCCCTCGAAACAATGTAGAACTTTAGAGCTTATACATCTACTCAGTTCTTGTTCAGTCGACTGCTGAGACAAACAAGTTTATTTACATATACGGGAGATAATGCTGCCTGCCTCTTATTTACAATGTTACCTGAAAGCGAGAACAAGCATTTTCATGGCACTTTTATAGCTAGTGTTGCAAACTACTTACATCCCTGATATATTAAACATTTATATGCCCCTTCATGCTTCTGCCACCGTTCCAGAAGACCTGCTTCCATGCTGATGATACTCGTTAAAAAAAATGCATTAATTAAATCTGTGATTGAACTCCTTGGGAGAGAATTGTATGTCTCCTGTTCTGTTTTACCTACATTCTCCCATATATTTCATGTGGTAGCAGTCTTGGATGATGACCCAGCATATGCCCAATTTAAGAACAAGTATTCCTGTGACACCTTAGAAACTATCAAAAATATATATAGTACCATGAGCTTTTGTGGGTAAAGCCCACTTCATCAGATGAAGTGGGTTTTACCCACAAAAGCTCATGATACGGTATATTTTTGTTAGCCTCTAAGGTGCCACAGGACTAGTCATTGCTTTTAAAGTTACAGACTAACATGGCTACCCAGAAGTCATTTTAAGAACACTTTCACAGCAGATTTGATAAAATGCAAAGAAGGATCCAATGTGAGATTTTTAAAAACAGCTACAGCTCTCAACCCAAGCCTTAAGAATCTCAACTGCAGTCCAAAATCTGAGAGGAACAAGATGTGAAGCATGCTTTCGGAAATCTTAAAAGAGCAACACTTCTATGCAGAAACTACAGAACCCAAATCACCAAAAAAAAAAAAAAAATCAACCTTCTGTTGTTGGTATCTAACTCACATGATGAAAACAAACATGTGTCAGTCCGCTCTGCTTTGGATTGCTATTTAGCAGAACCCGTCATCAGCACTGATGCATGTCCTTTGGAACAGTGGTTGAAGCATGAAGAGATATATTAATCTTCAGAACACCTGGCACTTTAATATCTTGCAACGCAAGCTACAACAGTGCCATTTGAACACTTGTGTTCACATTCAGGTGACATTGTAAACAATAAACAGTAGCATTATTTCCAGCAAACTGTAACCAATCTTGTTTGTCTTAGTGATTGGCTGAATAAGAAATTGGACTGAATGGACTTATAGGCTGTGACGTAGTGTGGGTACCTTGCTGGTTGCTAGGCTTGGGTTGAGAGTGACCTCCACTGGCTGCTGTCTGCAGCACGGCCCAGCAGGGCAGGGGATGAGTCATTATGCAAGGGGGCTTCAAACCTGTCTGACGAGTTCTTCCCCAGACAGCGGAACAATGGGAAAAAGGGGACTGGGGGCAGGGCTGGAAGTGAGTGAGTTAGTTTCCGTCTGGGAGCATGGAGGAGACAGCCTAGGGAAAGGGGCTGGAATTTAGGGGCCCAGTCTCCCCCATCTCATGGGGGGGCTGAGGCATCCTAGGCCTGCCCTGTAACCAGATTACATCTGTGCTGTATCCTGGAGAAGCAATAAACTCCCTCTATTTTACTGGCTGGTGGAGTCTGTTCATGCCACTACGGGGTGCAGGAAACGGGAAAATCTAGGCTCCAAAGATTTACATTATTTTATTTTTGAATGCAGATATTTTTGTACACAATTCTATATGTGTAACTTCAATTTTCATGATAAAGAGATTGCACAACAGTATTTATATGAGGTAAATTGAACACTACTATTTTTATAGTCAAGTATTTGTAATCAAATAACAATATAAAATGAGCACTTTGTATTCTGAGTTGTAATTGAAATCAATATATTTGAAAATGTAGGAAGCATCCAAAATATTTAACTAGATGGTATTCTCTTACTGTTTGATTGCATGATTGCTTGACAGCCCTAATTAAGAAGTCCAGTTCTGTAAAGATCAGTCATAAGAGATGGGCACCCTCTCCAAGAGGAAAAGGAAAAAAATGTATATCCCCACTCTCTCTTTGCTTGGGCAACTAGGATTCATAGGGTATGTCTAGGCTACATGCTTCTGCTGACAGAGGCATGTAAATTAGACTACCCGACATAGTCAATGAAGCGGGGACTTAAATATCCCCCGCTTCATTAAAATAAAAATGGCCACCGAACTGTGCCAGCTCAGCACAGCGCAGCAGTCAAAACGCAGATCGGTTGACAGGGAACGCCTTTGTCGACCGCTCCCTTATGCCTCATGAAATGAGGTTTACAGAAGCGGTCGACAAAGGCGTTCCCTGTCAACCGATTCGCGTCTTGACTGCCGCGCTGTGCCGACGATCAGCTAAGCCAGCACAGCACAATGGCTATTTTTATTTTAACGAAGTAGGGGATATTTAAATCCCTGCTTCATTGACTATGTTGGGTAGTCTAGTTTACATGCCTCTGTCGGCAGAGGCATGTAGTCTAGACATCTCCTCCCGTCTAGACATACCTCTAGAGCCCACGTAGCTGCTGAAAACTTGTCGCTCCTCATTCATCATCTCCTCCCCACAGGAAGTCTAAAGGCTGCCCCTTCACCTGAGACACATTATCAAAGCCTTGCCTCTGTCTTTCCATTGGTGCTGCATCCATGGTGAATGTTCTCCCTCCAAGAGGACATTCTAAACCCAACACATACAGAGACAGAGCTGCCTGGGCCTCCCGACAAAGCCAGGGGACCAGCCACCATGGGAAAGTAACTCTTAGGCAATTTACTCATTGTTCCTTAGTTATTTAAGGCCTGTACTCACTGGTGCAGGTACTTTTATGCATTTCTTGTTCTTTAGCAGTCTCTTGAGCCCTTATGCTCTGCTCCTCTTCTTGTTTAATCCATGAGATGATATCCGTGGTAGAAATGGGAGATTCTGTTCAGAGGAAACAAGGTGACATCGCAATTTTTCTACAGTCCACTGAACAGATTGTTTGGTATTTGAGAGCTAATCTGAAACCACAAGTATCTGGCCCGACTCCGCTGATTTCAATAGAGAGCTGCATTAGCATATACCAGTGGTGAGAGAGTGACTATTTGGCTACGTCTAGATTGCATCCCTTATTTTAAGAGGGATAAGGGATCTTTGGGAAAAGGCCTTATTTTCCGAAAGATCCACATCTAGACTGGCGCTTTTTTACGGCAAAGCTCCGTGCCAAAAAAAGCGGCAGCCATTTTTATGCTAATGAAGCGGGGGAGATTTAAATCCCCACTTCATTAGCAATTGCGATATGTCTAATTTGCATCCCTTTTACGAAAAAGGGATGCAATCTAGATGTAGCCAGGATGTACTGGAAAAGATGCACGCTCTGATGGGGTGCACATGTTAAAATGGAAATTAAAAAAACGGGATTAATACGTCAAATGATCAGAATGCTCTGAAGAGCTAGGACAAAATGAAATTGGTGCAAGAGCATAAGAGCCATCTGCTCTCCGAAATTTAAGCTGTGGCTACATGAGCAGGATTCCTCATGTTTCAAGTGGAATTTCTGCATTACCTGTGCTAGGACCGGCAGTACCAGAAGTAACTGGGACAGGTGGAAAGTCATGAACATCTGCAAAGAAAATAAGAAAACGGTCAGTTAAAGAAAACTGTCTAGCTCATGTGGTTTTCTCATATATTTCCATTCTTCAGTTGAATTCCCGATCAGTCTATTACCCACCTGTGCTGGACTCTATATGGATCGCTCTCACTTCCAAGTCCTGCGGGTCCCCAACACACAGTTCTTCCCCTTGTTCAATCCGCGATAAAATATCAGGCTTGGAAATTGCATGGTCTGTTCAGGGGAAAGCATTATTGAGGATATAGTGAGCACTGATTTTAGTTTTAAAGGGGGGCAAGTAGGGGTTCTGCTGGTTTTAAGCCAACCTCTTTAACTCTCTGGAAGAGGCCAGTAAGCTGCACAGATGTAAGAGCAAATGTCTACTGGAAAGCAGTGCTCCGTGTAGGATGGGGATTAGGGTCCCTCACAAAACTGCAGGGCTTTACTCTCTGTGGCACCCCAGCATGCATTGTGCTGCTAGGGAATAAAGGAAACCTCTTAACTCTGTTAGTCACTTCTCCAAAGTTCATCAGCATCTCCTTCCAGGGAGAAAAAGAAGCTGCCACTCATGAGCAGGTATCTAGCCACACAGCAAGATAGGCAGACAAGTCAAGAATACCTTGAGGCCAGCAATATCAAACGTATCTGACAGGGCTAAAAGAATCAGAATAGATGCTTGGAGCTTCATTTCTTGCCAGGAAGAGATCACTGACTAAGGAGCCAATCCTAAAACAAAGCTGCCTGGGCTCAAATTGCCTTGGCTCCTCCAGATACTGCCAGTGTTGCCTTGCTATAATCCTCATCATAAAAGGTGGGATTCAAAGTAAGTCAATAGTCCATACCAAGGGATGGTTTCCAGAGCCAGGACCTAGTAAGACTTGAGACTTGCTGGTGCTCTCAGGTTTGCATAAATTAACAGCACCTCAATCTTCCCCCATTTCAGGTGGCTCAGGGCTCTAGGTGAACTTTTTGCAAAGTTCTATTGTTTAAAATGTGTTTCTTGTGTAACATGGGCAGAAACCTCGAGACAGCCATTAATGCAGAAGATCTTGCAACACCTTCGCACATTGAATAGGTCAGGTTCCTGGATATGGCCTGAGTTTGCACAGTTAACTTAGTTCCAGAAAACACAGAAGATAGAGGATTAGGAACCTTTCAGTATTCTGAAATTTCTCTAAAATGGGAAGGTTTGTGGAGCTGGTTTATTACACAGGGTCTGATATAAGGGCTGACCCACAGAAATCAGAGGAAGTTTAGAACAGCCATGAAATAGAAGAAATTCAGCAAGTCAGATTGCAAAGCCTCTCCTAAGTGAAAACTGCTCTTTACCTAGTGAGATCAAAGACTCATAGTTGCCCTTCATGACATTCTTGTAAAGTTCTTTCTGCCATTCTTCTAAATTCTCCCACTTCTCCCGGGCAATTTGGATTGAGACATCATCAAACGTCATTGGGACCTGAAATTACAAGTGTCACACACTCAGCACCTGCTGCTGCTATTACCTCCTGTCACCAGCTATTCTTTCACCTTGTATAACAGAAAAATGGGTTGGCAAAAAACAGCAGAAATTTAGCAGTGGATGACTGCCCATTGTTCAGTATGAGAGCGAGTGGGTCTCTGTCCCATGTCCATGCACCAGGATAACCACCATGAAAACTGGAACCAAATAAAGCCCTGGCTGGAAGTTTCTGCACTGAGAAAGGACGGGAGAGGTTTGGAGAATTAACTACTGGCTCACCCCTAGAGGCGATCTCCCCAGATCAGGTACAGTATGTGCGACAATAGCATCTTGAGCTGGGAGGCAGAGGGAATGGATACATCAGGCTCATATGGAAAAAACTTTCAAACAGTATTCCCACAGACGCTTTAAAGTTGATTTGCCATTTAAAAAAAAAAAATCAAACAAAGCATGTTAGAAGTCAGCAGCATGTAATTATGGCCATGGACTTCAAGATGATTTGTATATATTTAGTGACTGTTTAAGGTGTTACTTGTCTTTTGAGAATTTATACCACGTATTAGGGATGCAATAGTGTCAAAATGTAAACAGTTAACAGATAAGCATGAGCTTACTGGTTATTGGAGTGGTTACTCACCGGCTACAGGCCCTGCTCCAAGGGAACCAGCTGCCACCCTGCTCTGCTGGCTTGTATCAGAGGCAGCAGTGCAGAGAGGCAGCCAGCTCCCTGGGAGCAGGGCCATAGCCAGGTACAGGGCCTGGAGTAGGGATGTTAAATTTAGTTTAATCAACTAATTGAAGTTGATGGATTTTCCATTTACTAGTTGTCAACTCATCGGGGTAGCGCCCAACAGGTTTGTGGAGTTGCTTCAAGACAGAATCTATTAGGGATAGTTGTGTTTATTAATCTCACTACATCACTACTATTATAGGCTTAATTCTGCTAGATGGTTACACAACTACTGCAAAGTAACACGCCAATAAGCACAGGCAAAGCAATGCATAAAAGAGTAACAGGCACTTGGAAATGCTTGTGCCCCTTCAATCTGCCAGGAGCCCCGTTCCGGTCACCTCGCACCCAGCCGCAGTGGACGCGGCTCCAGCTGGGGGGATCCAGGGCACCCTTCAAGGTCTAGGTCCCAGGTAAGACTCAGAGGGGCGGGACTCCCAGTGATCTTATACTTTAGCTGTTTACTGAGTGTGCACGAGTTGGCCCAGTGCTACACTCTACGTTCCCACGGGGCTGAGAACCGAGGTCATGTTATTTATCCCATACTCAGCTCTCAGCTAGCAAGCATAGGGAGTTGCAGCTGCTGAAGGCCGTCTGATAAAGAACACCTAGTATTTTCACCAGCAGGGCTCATATCTGGCCTAGAGGAATACAAATTTAACCCCTGCAGGCCTACATATAGCTTTTTATATGACTCCAGTCATACAAGCAATAAGCAGGGGAGCTGCAGCGGGGTTAGCCAGGCCGAGAGCTAACTCTGCTATGGCTCTGCCTTTTAAATGTATTAAGAGCCTGCTGGAGGCACCCAGCTAAAAGGCTAAAGCACAGCAGGAGGGACCCAGCACAAGCTGGGACAGCTGATTCCCAGCTCTCACAGCCCTTCCCCCCCCCGCCCCACTGCACACCAGCCTTTTAAATGTATTTAAAATCAACTGTCCCAGCTCGCATTGGGTCCCCCTGCTGCGCTTCTGATTTTTAAATGTATTAAGAACCAGCAGGCTTTGAATACATTTAAAAAGCAGAGGTGCAGCATCTGGGACTGGGCATGAGCCAGGAATCAACTGATTCCCAGCTTGCGCCCGGTCCCTGCTTTTAAGCTGGCTCTCCCCAGCACCAGCTCCTGCTCTCCCCCTTTGCTGCCTCTGATAGAGGCAGCAAAGTGAGAGGGGGAAGCGAGTAGTCCAGAGACTAGTCGACTACATCCGTATGCCGGAGCCAGCTTAAAAGCTGGCTCCCAGCACACACTGGCTCCCACCCTGCACTTCTGCCTCTGCTCCAGGTGGTGGCCAACTCCCCCGGAGCGGGGCAGCAGGTGGGAGCTGGCTGACACACCACACTGCAGGCTCTATAGTATAAAGCTTATACTGCAGAGCCCACAGTGCAGCCAGCTCTCCAGGAGTGGAGCCGGCAGCCGGCCCTGCAGTATAAACTTTATGCTGCAGAGTCCACAACCTGTAACTTAGCAGCCAGCCCTGCAGTATAAATTTTATGCTGCAGAGTCCACAACCTGTAACTTCTAAGATTTTTCATGTTTACCTAATCAGACACTTTTTAATATCCCTGCCACATATCATGCTGGAATCCAAGCCCCTCTCAGTAACATTACTTCACTATCCTTCTAATCTAACCACCCATAAACCCTTTACAGAAACCAAATTTCTCCTAACTAGGATATTTAACATGGAACACTCAGGTTAAGTGCTGGAGAGGTAATGGACCAAGAGGTGACTAATTGCACATGGTGATTTTGCCCTATTTTAATAATATGTTCCAGACTCAAGTATTATTCAGTTCTCAGATACTGTACTGGAACAAGGCAGAGCACAAACACCATGCTCACTAGGAGTTTGTGCAAAGACAACTGCTACAAGCTGTAGACTGGAAGCCATCCCAAACACAATAGTTTTTTACCGTCCAGGGCTTGGGACCAGATCCTGCTTTCACTTGCAGCAGAATCCGGAGTAGTCAGTGAAACTTACAACAGAAACTGTCCCATCAGCTCTCCCTGTAGAAAATGACATGCCTCCAAAGATAGGGACATAACAATTACCTTTTATAAACAAGGTAGAAAAATATAAATTTTGAATGAAATATATAATTTTGTATAAAAACAGACTGAACAGATTTCCTTGTAATTGACATTTTTATGTTAAAACAGATGAGTTCCTGGCTGTGGATCATAATGACTTATAGCACATTGTATTCATTGTCATCCATCCTTCATATAGTTAATATACCTACTTCATTAAAAAAAATAAACGTAATAGAAATTGTTTAGATGGTCCCAGCTCTCATGTGTATGTATCATTCAGCTGAGGGAAGGTACTCCGAAAAATACATCTAAAAATTGCAAGCATCCAATATCCCACCCAGAAAGCTTTGTTAAAAGGTTGCATTTGCAAGTGTAGCCTATGAAATGAAAGAAAACTTCAAAGCAAATAGCTTTGTGGGCATACGCAGCACCATCTATCGCAAGAGGCCTAGAGTGCTCTCACTGCAGTAGTGGCAGCATGCTTTTAATGGCTAGCAGCTGGTCACAAGCTCCACATGGATGACACAGGAGTAACTGTTGAGAGGAGGAAGGCAGAAGAGGCAGAGCCCTCCCCTTTCTGCACACAAAGTGGTGGGCCAAATCAAATGAGCGGGCCAGCTACATGTGTTACCCCGGGATACCAGCTGCCCATCCCTCTTAATGGTCCAGTGTTCAGGGCCTCCTGAGACAGAGGCCCTATGAGAGTACACATTGATTAATCTAGGCTTGACTACCTGCCAATAGTTTTCAAACAAACTGTTAAAAATGGAGCTTTCATTTGTGCAAATCCAACCAGAATGCTAATTACTGGGGATGGGGAGAGGGGTGTTGCATTAACAGAGGTGAACCCAAAGGAGGTCCTGACATGGTATCTGGGATAGTGCCTAATTTCTGTTGTGTGAAGCAGGGGTCCAGAATCTCATGGAAAAACAGCCTGTAATCATGTATACCTAGAGACTGTATCCTAATGCATTATAGACAAAGAAACAGAGTTATATTTGAAGGGGCAATGGATTTTGGCATATATGGACTTAACTTTTTCACTTTGGATGCATAATATTATTTTAACGTAGGGGCTTTTATATGGAATTCCTTAGCCTTTTTTAAAATAAGATTTCTTCCTTTTATTGATATTGAACTGTTCGCTATAGAATAACGCTCGTTCTGCTTTATACACTGGAGTAGGGCAGTGCAACTTGGGCAGACCTTTCATAACTGCTTTCGTGTATTTCATGGATTGGATACTTGCTTAATAAATACCACAGCTAGTAGGCAGTCAAGTAGCTCCCCTCCAGTCAAGCTACTTACAATGGCAATTTATAGGGACATGAAGACTTTGCTGATACAGTCTACATTCATTTTACTCTACAGTATTAGGTGGGCTAGTTACCTTTGAGTCTTCTTCTTTACTAGCAGGGGGAATTCTTAGGACCCAGAAGTTCTTGTTCTTCAGCAGGTTCTCCATGTTCTCCAGCCTTCTCTGCAGCAGCCCATACTCTTGGATCAGCGTTCCCAGCACAGCCCACTTACTTTCTAACTGATTACCAAACTCTACCACTGTTTTCTCACAGTCCACAAATTTCTTCTCAGCTGTCCCTGATCTCCGCTCCAGATTGAGCAACCGCATAGCATGAGACTCCACTTTCCTCTCCACAGCTTGAACAGCAGCTACCACAGTCCACAAGGAAATGGCTGCAGTCTGCAGTTGGGTTTCTTTCACAAAACTTACATCTGGGATAAGGGGAGCTTGAACCTCTGTGTCCCATTCTGATGCCTGTTTGCAAGGAAAAATTGAAGAGAGATGGGTTACTGTTCCCATCTAGCAAAATAAACTACAAAGAGAAAAAAAACATAAAAGTAGCTCACAGGCTCAGGCTGCTCAAACCTTCTTGCAACTAGATCTTTCTTTTTAATAGGGTCCAATATAAAGTTGTGCAAACAGTCCCAACAAAACCAACACTGATCTAGTAGGCTGGTAGTCAGGAGACTTGGCTTCTAATTCCCACCTCTGCCACTGATCTGCACTGTAACATATGGCATGTAATTTCACCTCTCAACAACTGTAATAAGTTTTATGAAAAAATAAAAACTTAACTGAACCACCAGAATATGCATATGTCAAGTACCCAGATACTGCAGACTGCTGTATGTGGGCAGAACCCTGTGCGTCAGCCTACTGAAATCAAAGCACTAGGGATGAGGGTAGGAAGTCCATCACCAAGGAACAGTGTACAGGATAAGGGTCTAAGTGGCTGTCTGATAAGCACTAGGGATGAGGGCAGGAAGTCCATCACCAAGGAACAGTGTACAGGATAAGGGTCTAAGTGGCTGTCTGATAATCATATTGCTGTAAAATTATTTTTTCTTCTGAGCCCCACAGTCATTCCCTTCTCCCTGTTACATGCACTAGTCATGTCTAAAAATTTGGTCCCAAGCCTACAACTGAATCCACAGAGGATGACCCTTGTACCTCGATGGTGATGCATAGTCTTCATGGGAACTCTGGGTCAAAAAGCAGCAGTAGCCCCCTAGATTGAAAGGCTTCTGACTAGGGATGTGAAAGGTTAACCAGTAAGAGTCATCCTTTATGATGATGCTTACTGGTTCCAGATAACTGGTGGGGGCCACCGTGAGGAGGGGGCTGCTTCAGCCCTGTGGGGCCTGCCGCAGAAAGGGGCTGCTCCAGACATCCAGTCTACGGTGGCCAGGGCATGTTGCAGGCAGGGGCCAGGAGCCAGCCCAAACCCCAGTGCGAGCTGATTAACTGAGATTTTACATCCCTAGTTCAGACCAGGGCCTCTGACTTACTCTTTGTCCAGTGGAGCACCCAGCACCACCTGGGAAATATAAAATCACACTCACTGACTAGAAAAGAAATGAGGAGTCATATGGCACTTTAGAGACCAGCAGATTTATTAGGGCATAAGCTTTTGTGGGTAAAACCCACTTCATCAGATGAACTGGAGTGGAAATTACAGAAGCAGGGGTATATATTTAAGAAAAGAAGGAAATTACTTATCAAGTGTAGGACCACTGTTAATGAGGCCAATTAAGTCAGAGTGAATGTGGCTCACTCATAGAATCATAGAACACCAGAACTGGAAGGGACCTTGACAGATCATTGAGTCCAGTCCCCTCCCCTCATGACAGGACCCAGTACCATCTTCTAGACCATCCCTGATAGATGTCTATCTAACCTGCTCTTAAATATCTCCAGAAATGGAGATTCCACAACCTCCGTAGGCAACTTATTCCAGTGTCTAGGCACCCTGACAGTTAGGAACTTTTTCCTTATGTCCAACCTAAACCTCCCTTGCTGCAGTTTAAGCCCATTGCTGCTTCTCCTAGCCTCAGAGGTAAGGAGAACAATTTTTCTCCCTCCTCCTTATGACACCTGTTTAGATACCTGAAAACTGCTATCGTGTCCCCTCTCAGCCTTCTCTTTTCTAAACTAAACAAGCCCAATTCTTTCAGTCTTCCTTCATAGGTCATGTTCTCTAGACCTTTCATCATTCTTGTTACTCTTCTCTGGATCTTCTCCAATTTCTCCACATCTTTCTTGAAATGTGGTGCCCAAAACTGGACACAATACTCCAACTGAGGCCTAATCAGCGCAGAGTAGAGCGGAAGAATGACTTCTCATGTCTTGCTCACAACCTCCTGTTAATGCCTCCCAGAACCATGTTTGCTTTTTTTGCAACAGCATCACACTATTGACTCATATTTAGCTTGTGGTCTACTATGACCCCTAGATCCCTTTCTGCAGTACTCCTTCCTAGACAGTCGCTTCCCATTCTGTATATGTGAAACTGATTGTTCTTTCCTAAGTGGAGTACTTTGCATTTGTCCTTATTAAACTTCATGCTATTTACCTCAGACCATTTCTCCAGTTTTTTCAGATCATTTTGAATTATGACCAGGGCTCGACAAATAATACAATCTACTCGCTCGTAGTGAGCAGATTGCAACCCGGAAGAGCCGGGTTTGGGCGATCTGCGCATGTGCAGAACGATCTGCGCATGCACAGATCGCTGGACAGCGCGGCTGGCGAGCAGGGCTTGCCGCGGTTTGGCGAGCCCTGATTATGACCCTGTCCTCCAAAGCAGTTGTAACCCCTTCCAGCTTCGTATCATCTGCAAACTTAATGAGCGAACTCTCTGTGCCAATATCTAAATTGTTTATAAAGATATTGAACAGAACCGGTCCCAAAACAGACTCTTATGCCTTTCCAGCAGGATTGTAAACTGTTACTAACTACTCTCTGAGAACAGTTATCCAGCCATAAACCATCTAAACATGCTCATAGAATCGTAGAATACAAGAACTGGAAGGGACCTCAAGAGATCAAATCCAGTCCTCTGTCCTCATGACAGGACCAAGCACGGTCTAGATCAGAGGTAGGCAAAATTTCCGAAGTGACATGCCAAGATTTAACTTATATGCCCTGGGCCATGCCGCTCTCTGGGGAGTGGGAAAGGGCTCTGTCCACCACACTCCCTGCTTGGTGTTCTGCCCTGAACTCCACTCTGGCTTTTTCTGTGGGGAGGGTAGGAATAGCCAGGGACTGTAGTTTCCTGGGTTGTTCTTATTTCCCTATTTATAGATGGGCAATATATTTGCCCTTTTCCAGTCTTGTGGTTCAAAAAGCTGCATCACCTCATTTGGCATAGTAGTGGCATATTTTATCTAACTTCTGAAGAAAAATGAGCATGTTGCATCATTTTGTACAAATACAAAGTAGTGATTTTGAACACAAATTTGAGCTTAGCTTGTGAAGTTTGTTTTCTTGCAAAAACCCTTCAATAGAATTATTTGCAATTCACTAAATGTTATCTGCTACGAAGTTAGAGTAGCCTTGTAAGTTAATGGTGTATGTAACTTAACATTTAACGTATAATATTAAATAAGACACTCAAAATACATTTATCATAGATCATTCAGTCACTTTCACTTTACTGTATTCAGAAAGGGAAACAGATGAATGTTTTGTTTCTCTTTATGCCGGCAGCTAGTTTGAACTCATTTTATGCCTTTGCCTTTCTAATCTTGCCTCTGTATACCTGTATTGTTTGCTTATATTCATCCTTTGTGATTTGTCCGTTTCCACTTTTTATATGACTCCTTTTTTATTTTTAGATCATGCAAAATCTCCTCGTTAAGCCAAGGCAGTCTTTTGCCATACTTTCCACAGCAGTTGATGAGAAGGTGTGAAAACCAAGGGGGGGAAATTGCTTTTGTAGTGAGAACCAATTTAAGTACTTATTTAGTCCTAATTTAATTGTACTGAATTTGCAAATGAGTTGCAATTCTGCTGTTTCCCTTTGTAATGTGGTTTTGAAGTTTTTTTGTAGATACTTTTACATCTATTACTGAATGTCCAGGGAAGTTAGTGTTCTCCTACAGAATTATGAATGTTACCTTTCTTGATGTCTGATGTGTGTCCATTTATCCTTTGGCATAGAGACTGTCTGGTTTGGCCAGTATACATGGCAGAGGAGCATTGCTGCTATTTGATGGCATATATCACATTAGTGGATGTGCAGGAGAACGAGGCCCTGATAAGTGGTTAGGTCCTGTGATGGTGTCGCTCATATATGTGGTGTGGGCGGGGGGCTGGACTCGATGACCTCTCGAGGTCCCTTCCAGTCCTATTATTCTATGATTCTATGATGTGGTGTGTGGCTACTGCTAAGTATTTTCTTTAAGTGTGGGGGGGCTGTCTGTAGGTGAGGACTGACCTGTCCCCCAAGGTCTGAATGAGGGATCATTTTTCCAGATAGATTGTAAATGTCAATGATGCACTGGATAGGTTTTAGCTAAGGGCTGTAGATAATAACCAATGGTGGTGTTATAGTTATTTTCCTTATTGGGCCTCTCTTGTAGTAGGTGATTGCTGGGTACTCATTTGGTTCTGTCAGGGTTTTTTTTCCACTTCTCCAGGTGGGTATTTTAGTTTTAAGAATGCTTGATAAAGAACATGTAGGTGTTTTTCTTTGAGGCATTGAAGCAGATAAGGTTGAATCTTAGGGCTTGGCTGCAGACAGTGGATTGTGAAATTTGCCCTAGATGGAATCTAGAGTCACGTAGGTAAGAATAGCCATCAGTAGGTTTCCAGTACAGGGCGGTATTTATTTGTACTGTAGCATCCAGGAAGTGGATCGGTCCAGGCTAAGGTTGATGGCAGGGTGGAAATTGTTGAAATCCCTGTGAAATTCTTCCTTCCCTTGGATCCATGTGACGAAGAGGCATCAGTGTAGCGCAAGGAGAGGAAGGGAGCTAGGGCCCCGAGAGCTGAGGAAACACTGGAGATCAGCCATAAAAAGGCTGGCTTGTTGTGGGGCCATGCGGGTGCCCATAGCGGGGCCACTGACTTGAAGGTATAAACTGCGGCAGGCTCCTGCAGCACGAGAGCCAGCGCACAGGCCGTAGAAACCTGGGGGGGCTGCTCGGGAACCGAGTTCCCCCCCCCAAGACCCCTGTA